TTTCCTTTTTTTCCCTCCCCTTCCCCTGGGGCTTTCCCCCCCCCCCCCCCCCCCCCCACATGCACAACGCAATAAACAGGGCATGAACTTTGTGTGTAGGTCCGTGCTGCAGGTGTTCCAAGACGAGGAAGAGGCGTTTTGGGTGTTCGTGGGCATGCTGCAGAGGTTCCGCCTGCGCGAGCTTTACTGTCCGGGGATGCCATTGCTTCGGCTTCGGTGCGTAACAAGTGCAAGTATCTTGGGGAGGAGGGGGGGATATGGAAACATATGGACAGGGGGGGTAGAGACATGGCGACAGAGAAATCGTAAGCGGTAGGGTGAGCCGGAGGGGGGGGGTAGAGGAGAAGGGAGGAGGAGAGGAGAGGGAAGAATCAAGAGGATTCCATAGGGCGAAAGGAGAACACTGTGGCTAGGGGAAGGAGAATGGCGTGCTGGAAGGATGGGGCTTCCGTTCTTGCGTTGCATTGCAGGGTTTAGGGTTGTGCATCATCATCGTCTCTCCATCTATTGGGCGGTCAAAAGTAGGGTGGTTTGTTTTTACTTCACGACAGCAGCGGTGGTCGCTTGTGCGACACGCGTCGGAAGCTCTTGAAGCCCAGCCACAAAGAGGCCGTGGGCCCCCGACAGGTGGTTGACGCGGCAGCAGCAGCAGCAGCAGCAGCAGCAGCAAAGAAGTAACTCCAGTTTCTACATTATTTCTCAACTTTCGATCGGACTTCCTGGCTAATGTTTTGGATGATGGTTTCGCATTTCAACGTGTCTGCCCCGTTTGCGCAGGTTCTTCCAGCTAAACCGGCTGCTGATGTGGCACCTTCCGGAGCTGTACGACCATTTCGAGGCGTGCGGTGTCCAGACCAACCTGTACGCCACTAGCTGGTTCGTCACGCTCCTGTCGGACGGGGGCATGCTTCCCGATAGCGAGGTGCGCGAGACGGGTGCCAACGGGGTGCCAACGGGGTGGGGTGGGGGTTGTGTTCCACTCGAGTTTCTGCGACTGTTTCTTAACTGTTGAGAATTTTGTTTGCTCTAAGGTCGATGAAGTCGCTGTTTCCGTCTCGGTTCAGATGGCGGCGGTAGTTTTCTCTGCGATTTAATCTAGATATAATTTAGACGCTGCCCTCACGACCTCTCTCTGAAAGTCACGTTTTTGAAGAGGCGACAAAGTATACGTGACTGCGTCACTCACTCTGTTTTCGTTGCTTAAAACTTAAAAAAAAAATACAGGTGAAGGTGGTCTGGGATCACATCTTTCTCCACTCCTCTAGCCCGGCCTCCCAGTGGGCGCCGATGTTCCTCTTCCTGCTAGAGCTGTTGAGGCGGGCTTCCCCCGCCCTAAAGGAAGAGTCTCGATTCAGCGAGCTCATCCAGAGGCTGGTGAACATGCCCTTCCGAGAGCTGTGTCGGGGGAGCGGGGCTTGCAGCACGATCGAGGAGGGTCGAAGGTACGGTGCTAAATAGAAACTGATACTCTGTGGTGCAAAAAAAAAGAAAAAACCCCGGCAAGTTGGTATTTTTCTTGGGTGCGGCGGCGCGGCAACCCCGTGTTTTGCGTGCGTTCTGGGTGCAAAATACGATGCGAAAGATGTTGGATAGGACAGCGAGAGTGTAAGCAAGAGATGAAAAATGTATGACGTAGACACTGTTGGTGGATGGCACAGCGAGCGTGCGAAGGGTTTTTTTCGTCTTTTTTTGCTCTATTTCCCGGTGGCCTCTGCGTGTCCACAAAGGGTTCCGCACATGACACTAATTTTTATCGAGGCGGACGCTGTCTCTCTCTCTCTCTCTCTCGGACTTGACTTGTGCGGATTTCGACGCATAGAAATGGATCAAGCTATTAGCTCACGGCGCTCCAGTTGGTGCCCGTCGGGAGCACCGCTTTCTAAACTCATTGTGGTGTTTGTTTTTGTCGTATTGTTCTGATGGAAGCTACGTTGAGCCTAAGGGCCTGTGCTGGCAGAACTAAGCTTAATATACTATACATGTAGTAGGGGGCCATATCGTGCAATACTCTTTTGGGGATCGTCAGCGCTGATGCGGTATTTGGACCTCCACTCCTTTGCACAAAGACTGCAGTTTTTTCGTAGATGTGCTCGCGGTCGTCTTGCCTCAGGTCTCAAGACCATGACGCAATCCTCCACGTTCTGTCTCGCAGATCTTGCCCACCCCTCTCCCCTTCTTTGCTCCCCGCCGCCCCCGTCCCCCGAGGGTGCCGATCTTGCCTCCCCCGACAGCAGTACCTCCAATGTCTCTCTCTTGCACCCTGCGGGCCACTTGTGTCAAGAACATTGTGTTCGTAGATGCAGCCCATAGATGCAGTTTCGCAGGCCCCATAGATGCAGTTTCGCAGGCCCTTCGCGGCGTCACGTTTCCGCCACAATCCCTCCACACCCCCCTCCTCTGAAATGTTTTTCGGCCATTGAGACCCGCTCAATGATCTGCCCCCCCCCCGCCCATCCCTTCCCTTTGGTCGGATGGATGCCAGGCGTTTCGAAACGTCTTCGCCGATGCCTGTGCAGCTGCTGCTGCTGAACGACCAGTGGACGGAGGGGGGCGGAGAAGACGGAGAATTGTCCCCGAAGCACGACGGCGACAAGCAGCTCTTGTGACGTCATCCATGACGCCCGTCCGGGTTCTGTTGTTGTTGCGCTTCCGGTCAGGAAGTGTGTGAACGTAGTTGAAAAGTGTTGAAAGCGGGAGTTGTGTACGAGGTATCCGAGAAGAGTCGCGCCCTGCTGTAGGGGGAGGGGTCGGGGGATTATTCTGCCTCTGTTCCTGGCGTTTGTCGTGGAGCTCGTTCCACCCGCCCAACAAATAATGGACCGATCGACGAGGAGCCGGAACGCGCGTTGATAGCTTTCGACACCGACGTTGGTGGCGGGAGGGTGGGGGTCACGCGATCGATAAGTCCTTCGCCGTTGGCCTGGCCTGTCTTGATATCTTATATCCGGGTGAAAGAGGGTACATCATGGCAAGAGTCGTCTCGATGCTCTCTACGGACGGCAACGCGCCTGCCGAATGTAGCGGTGGGCGAGGATGTATGACATGTCTCCCCCGGCGCGTCGGGCGTAAGCGCGTGCCTGCGAAATCGTGCTACGCTTGCATTGATGGGCCACGGTTGGTGGATGGACATGATATATGGGACCATTAACCGTGATGTCCCCCCCCCGTCCCCCGCTGAAGCTATGGTCGCCGGCCAAAGGCAGTAAAAGCAGTGTCGGTCGAGCGGTGTAGAGACGGCAGCGGCAGCAGCAGCAGCAGTGGAGAGTCTCTACAGCTGATTAACTGGCCTGGATTGCGTACAGGAGCGGTGAGCGCATCAGCTGCCTCCTTTCGTGCGCGTGTCTGCGAAGCCGGCGACCGCGACGAAGAGGGCGTTCTTTGAATGGTCCAGAGCAGAGAACACCCCGAACACACTTCGGTGCGAGAGCCGAAAATTCCAGGTTGATGGCTTCCGTGTTTGTGGATCCCCGTTTTTCGCTGTATTCCCTCCGATCATGCCAGAGTTGTGGCGGGCTGACCGGCCTCAAGGAGTGAAGAAAGAGAGGGTTCGTGATGCTGCCGAAGAGTTATTTTCTGCGGCTTCGATGATAAAGAGAACCCTTTCTTCTGGCGGTGATGGTCTATTTTTACCGGGCTTGCGTCGTGGGAGGGGTTGCAAACTTAGATAGGGCTTACAGGCACTAGGCTGTTTGCCGTCCTTCTGTAGGAAGCGTGGGACATCCCCCCTCCCCCCCCCTTATCCCGCTCACTGATTGGGTTCGCTCTGTTTCTCCAGGCGAAGGTGGAAGTGAGGGGTACTTAGAGAAATCTTTGCAGAGCGCCGAATAACGGATTCATTTTAGCCATGATATATGGTGTGAAGGGAGTCATGTTCTCCGCTCAGACTTTTGCGTGTGCATCATGTACTGTTGTCTCCCCTGGGCACCCCCTGTGCTCAGGAGGACTCATGTTAGGCGCCGAAAACGCTGCCAGTGGGGTCTACCATCACCTGTAGATGTAGTAGATGTTTTTCGGTTGCAACACAATGGTTTTGGTTTGTTTTACCCCTTGGAAGATGAAAAGGTGGATGGAGGATGATGTATCACGATGTATCACGATGTATCACGATGTATCACGATGTATCACGATGTATCACGATGTATCACGATGTATCACGATGTATCACGATGTATCACGATGTATCACGATGTATCACGATGTATCACGATGCATCACGATGTATCACGATGCATCACGATGTATCACGATGTATCACGATGTATCACGATGTATCACGATGTATCACGATGCATGGGACGGCTGGCCGTTGTTTTGAAGCCATGTATTCGTCCATGTTTCAGACAAGAGGGACCATCGTGTGATACGATGGTTTCCTGAAGTGAAAAAAGTTTGTAGAACGCGCTGGACGAAGTCGTGTCGAGTTGATTTTATGCTTGAGAAATGGCTTATCCAGCTGCTAGGAGGCTATCTGCTTGAGGAGTGTCGTATAGGCCAATTTCGTTGTTCATGCCGGTAGATAAGTGTACCCGCTGTGACAACACTTGTTGAATACCTGTGTTTGGGGTCGTCATTTGTGGATGACGTTTTTCGTGTGTAGTGTGTACATTTGGTAGAGATTCTCTTGCTTGCGGTGGATGGATCACTTCGTCGACGCCAACGTGAAAAGAGGAATTCGCCCTCAACAGGCGTTGCGTCGGGGAGAAATAGATGGGGCCCTTTGCCACGCCATAGCAATCAATGCAGTGCGGCGTTTTACTTTTTTCGCTCCCAGCGACCCCTGTCTCATGTGTTGGCCGCGATATTGGGGTTTGCCACTTATTTTCTGGTGTCTCATGGCTGCTGCTGCTGGACGGATAGTTGTAGAGTTTGGTGCGGTATATAGGGCACCCCCACGGCGACGCGGGGGAAAGGGGGCGTGTGTAGAATGCCACGTTGTAGAAGATATGCGTTGGCAACGTGTGTGCATAATAAACATATCTTTTACGAACCTTTTGTGCAAATGCAAAACCTTTTTTTGCCCACGTGGGGTGGGCTGCCGACATTTCCGGAGTACGGCAAGATGATGCCAAGGTGGACCCAATCCCAGAAGATGGAAGCCCATGAGGTGCTAATTTTCGGCGAATGATCGACACACCGTTCGTTGTTGTTGTTTCTCAAGCGCCACGGGTGTTGGAACGAAATGTCGAAACCGTTGGCACCAAAGGATGTTCACGGGAGTATGTCTGCACCGTTTCCCGTCCAACGTGCCCCACCGTTGCTAGTGGACGACAAAAGTTGTCTTACACAACCTCCATGCATGACCTTGGCGAGAGATTAGCGGCAATGTAGCGATCGCATAGCTGCTGTGCGGAACTCGGGGTGAACTCCCACGGTGAAACAGTCCCGAGAAAGAGCAATAGCACAAGGTTTTGATCACGACGACACATCACCCCAGACTATCACAATGGACACCAACGGCGACCACAAGTTTGTATTTCCGCGACGGCAAAAAAGGGCAAAAACAGATGGTGCCATGTAGCCCAACTTGCGGAGATCTTGCGGTAACCGACCATTCGTCCGATGAAAAACGCAATCCAATGCACCAACGCCCAGCTTATTCAACGCCCTAGACATGCACACACCGAATAGGCTACTCCAGAAAAACAAGGATACTCGGACCCCAACGGCAGGATTAGAATTCTATTGTCTCTCTCCCATAACCTAATTTATGTATGTATGTGATACTCACGATGGTTTTGCAAATTAGTACATAGCTACAAAAGGACACACCAAGACCGTTGCCCTTACGTGCACTCTACTACGCACACACCAGAGGGTACCGAAAAAAATGAACCCGTGACATCTCCGTTGTTGGTAGTATCTATCTAATGGATCAACGGCGTCATCTACGTTCCACTCACTGTCTCACGAGAAGACTAAACCATCCTCCTAGACCACACGGTGACATTGCCGAACTCCGCGCGGCGGAAATCATCCTTATCCCATGTTTTTGTCGAAAGCGCAAACACATCCATCTCAGTCCCGAGCAAGAGCGTGGCAGACATAACGCATAAAACTCAGTCATCATGCGGCGTAGTTCATCTCCGCCTGTTGGGCATATGCCTTTCTCTCCGCCACGGCGGCGGTCTCGGTAATATTAACCTGCAAAAATATTGTGACCCCGTGACAGTACGAACACAACAACTTAGACGCACATGAGACAGACTCAACTCCACCGTAGTCGCTACCTTGCGGTCGGGGCAGGAATGGTGTTGTTGTTATTGTTGTTGTTGTTGTTGTTGTTGTTGTTGTTGTTGTTGTTGTTGTTGTTGTTGTTGTCTTCACATCAATAACCGGTCTCTGTCTTGTGTATTCTAACACCCGGGGTTGGTACGGCGGTGAATATGGATATGGTCACTGTATGGAAGGGGGGTTGTAAAGAACGTCGGAATCGAAGGGTGTACTTTAAAGAGTGCATAGAGCTCCAAGTACGATTGACTGTTGAAACGAGAAAAGGTCAAAACCATGTACCTCTGTGCTCCCCTCAAACAACAAGCTTCTTCAAGGGGGACGCGGAGGGCTATCAGACTTTACCTCGACAGCAACTACCTCCCTTTAACCGTTTCGACGAAGTTGAACCGGTTCCTGTAATCCATTGCCTGTACTGTGTTGGTTGCGTCGTGTCGTTCGATAACAAACCTTTTCCTCATGCCTATCAGTATGATCGCGCTTCCAGAGCCAAACACGGGCAATTGTCAACTTCTCTCTTTTGTGCTGCGTATTGTTGTCAGGCCGGCGCTATCGAACGCTGACAGGACTTCAGAGTATTCCCCCTACGTCCGTCTTCAAGCCCCGTCCTTCTTTGATGGTTAGTTGTCATGGAAATAATTGTGGCCGACATCGTTTACTACGTCGTCGGTTGTGTTTTTGTTGCCCGGATCTCTTCGGTGTGCATTTGTTCGATCATGTCCTTACAACTTCCTGTAGCTCCTGCGCCTCCTCCAAGCGAGACAAGAGCAGCCTGCTCAGGGTGGTCCCGTTGGCGCTCCTGCCCTTCGACGCCGCGATTCTGTCGAGCTTTTCCGACGCCCTGCACACAATTGGCGCGACAAACATTCCGTAAATAAGGAGAGGCGGGCACATGATCATGTATGTATCTGCTCTTGAAAAGGACGTGCTGGCACGTTTAGTTGTTCACGAGCAATGGTAGTTCTGCTGTGTGTATCGTGCGATTTCACCGCCGAGTGAACGGACGACACACCATCCAGATCAGCAATAATGTTGTGAGGGAAACAACGAAGGCAAAGAGGAGCAAACCCACAACAAATTGCAAAAAAACAACCTGTCTGTGTAGCTCAACGTTGTCGTAAATGTATTGAATCGTGTTTTTTCTGTTTGCTCAGCGATTACGTATCTCGACCCCGCCTTGTCTCCGCCACAGTATGTGCGTCCGACCACCCACGGGTATCCAATCGTAACAGCATGCATGGTGAAGGTCTGCAACGAAAATTCAACTTTCTTTGTGATACTCATGGACGACCTTCAGCAACTTGGACTAATAATGTCAAACATATTTTTCGCGATTGAATCAAAAGGATGTATTTTCATACTTGGCGATGGCGCCCGATCCGGGTTCGGCCTCCAGCTGCTTGCCGGTGACCCGCATGATCTGTTCTAGGTTGATCGCCCTCGCCACGAATACTTCTCTGAGTTCCTCAGCGGTGATCTTCTTCACGTGGTCGTTGATCAGGTCCTGGTGCAGTGGAGGAAGTGCCATTGGCACACGTGCATGCAACAACAGAACGAAAAACAAGAAATGGTTAGCGATCAGTGGCTAGGCCTTCTGAAAAGAAAGGTGGGGGGGGGGGGGTAATCTATCTCGCAGGTACGGGGAGCTGCTTAACAGTATGTGTTTGAAGTTTAAGTTTCCTGTCGCTGTCGTGCACGGCTGTGATCTTCACACTATCTACAGGCCCGCAACATTTCAGGCTTGAAAAAGAAGCGCACGTGTTCGCCGAGTACAGGCTCGATGCACTGCCCCAACTGGGAAGTGACAGTCGGATTCGATGTGTTGTATTTAGCGAGTGAACGGTGAGTGGAACGAGAGGGATAAAAGCCAAGATGGTGTGAGCCTGCCGCTCGATCTCGACGTGATGGCGTCGGGTTGTTGAAGAGCGTGTGCAAGAGAGAGATTGAGGAGGGGGGATAGTCACACCAACTTGTCAGAGATGAGAATGTCAGTGCCTTCGTGCCTAGTTCTTCTCCGCGAGGAGTATAAGCCATCGACATACACACAAGAACAACGCATCACATGTTATCCGGAGGTCTCATGCGAGTGTCAACCGGGCACCACACCTGATTTGCTTGCTTGACCTGCTTGGAGTATAGACGAGACTTCTTCTTCTGCACCTCTGTTCGCAGCAAGGTCTGGTACCGTCCGTAGAAATCGAGCGATTCCACCGTCTTGCGGTGCGTCTACCGGAGGGACAAGTACATTGATACTTGGATATTTCAGGAACCGAAGGACTTTTGGTCCAAAACAACAGCCGAGGAAGAACAGGCAAACGACTTTGACGGTGAAACCGTGTACCTTCCTGGTAGAAGGAGTGCAAGCGGCGTTTCATAGTTCCATCTCCTTTTGATCAACGGCCTGCCTGTACTACTCTTCCTGACGAGGCGGCTACATCGGCTTTTGGTGGGACATCGGCATCTCTCCATTTGCGGGAGCTTGCATCCAGACGCTTCGTGTTGCCTATTATCGTCTGTGATATGGACAGCTATCGGCGCAGGTCTGAGGCTCGCGCACGTCCTCCTCGTTGTGTTTTTCCAGCGCGCGCTGTCGTGCCACAAGACAAGAACAACCGCGGCCGCACCAACCCCCGTCAATCTTTCTCCGATCCTTGCATCCGAAGACGAGCTTGCGTCCAAGGACCAAGCCACGAGACAAACGCCCACGCCCTTCACAGGAGGGGACGAGCTCGGCACCCACCTGCGTCTCTCTGCGTTTGATGCGATCCACGGCCCTGTTGTACCAGACGCCTTTGTTGGGCCCTGCGCAGTGTGTCACCCCGGCCTTCGTCATGGTCACCTTCCGGTTGTGGTCAAGAAAGGACAGCGTCGTGAATGGATGATCGGTTCTAAACTAGGTGTGTGCTTTCTTGAAGCGATTAGAAGATACCCTCCACCTGACGATGAAGGGTGGGACGCTCCCGCATTGATTCCGTGTCACCTCCGACATTGAGCAATGCCTGAATCATTTGGAGGCGAAGTTCAGACGGGGGCGAGAGGGTATCGCCGGGTCATTCTTTTTCTGCTCCGGTGTGTGCTCTCGCGATCCACGTACCATGCTTCCAGTTCGGAGCTCGCTGGCCCGCCAGTTGCCCTCGTAGATCCGGTTGCTCTTGATGGCCTTCTTTCCCGACCTCGGATCGTAGACCCGCTTTACGTTGCCCCGGAACAGGGTGCCCGGGCCGGACCGTCTGTTGTCCAAGAAAAAGCCTTCGTACGTGTTTCCCCTGTGTAGGGGTGTGGATTGCTATCAGGCATACATAATCATGAACATGAAAGATTTCGCCTAGACGCACTTGGCGGCAACAGAAAGCACGAGTGGGTGGGTGGGCAGCCGGTGTAAGTTCGACGTTGCGAAGGTTTTTGTTCTGTGACTGACTTTTTTGGTTCAGGTGGAGCCAAAGTATGGTTGGAACGTCTTTGATCCCAGAAAGGAATACAAGCCTCTGGGTGTATCTCTGCAGCTCTGATTGTTGGGCGAAACACGTACGAAACGCCAGGTTTCTCCGGGTGTTCCGGGACTTCAATTCACCGAGCGGGTGGTTGCCTTGTCGAGAGGGTAGGAGACAAACTAGGGTATAGTGATTGAGGTGCGGGGGGAGTTTTGCTTCGCTGCCAGAAAGTGTATGCACCCCTCCGCCCTTCTCAAGTCCAGAGCCCCGCAATCGTCCTTCGCCATTTTCCGTGGCATTCTCCCGGTTGATACCCAACGGGACAACATCCCTTCCCATACTCCCACAGACGCCTTCCACAATAATAACGATTTGAGCCTTGTGTAGCATCAAGGAATCCGTAGTGAAGCACAACGAAGAACCTCACCCTCTGAAAGATATCCTTCCTTTCCCTTGGAACTCCCCGTTGACCCAGTCTCCCTCGTACTCGCCCATCTCAGGGGCGGAGTGCCTGCCCTCGCCATGCATGGCCCCTTCGCACCACTGCCCCTCCCAGACCTGTCCCACGACGTCCACCATGGATCCTGTGCCGTGAAGACGCCCGTTCATGAAATCTCCGCTATATCTTGTTGTGTTTGGTGTTGGTGGCAGTGGGGGGGTGGGGGAGGAGGCGTTGGTGTTGATGTTAGACTGTACCATTGGCGGAATGCTTGGCCTTGCTGGTAGAGTTGGTATCGCTGACGGTGCCGAACGGAAACAGCGTTGACGGTAGAGTGGTCGGTGGTGTTTGTTTCGGTGGTTGTGTCCACGGAGTTTAGAATGGCGCCGAGAAAAGAAGGTTCGGCCGCCGGGAGGGTTGAAGGGGGGCAAGAGTATTCGTTTGCAGACAATAGACACCGTGTAGTTTTTCCCATCATTTTTTTTCTAGGAGGCCTTCTGCGCCTCGATATTTTCCTCTGGTAAACGTTGGTTCGCGTCTCACAATTAATCGATGACGCGGAGAATAGGTAGGACGAGGTGCGTCGTGACTAAATAGAGTTTGTTATTTAGTATCCAAAGTAATCCTCCCTTTTGAAACTAGCGGAACCAAACACAGTTGTTACAAGTATCCAATTTGTTTTGTTAAGGGAGTGGAAGTCATGGGGTATGCCTTGTTTTTCGGAATCGAACACGAACGTGCTCAATTAATGACACAGCGGACTCAGGCACCCCACACAGTGAAGAAGGCACAAACGACAAACAAATGATAAAAGAATAGTTTAACAGCAAAACCAAATGGTAGGTTAATAGAGAATACATGGAGAGAGGGAATCCAACAGAGACGGTCGTACATCCCTCCAAAATGAAACGTTTTAGCCTCTGTTCCATCGACTGCGGTAAAGGACGAACGAACTGGCGCCCTCCCCTCCCCCCCCAATGAAGTGGCGCACCTCTCTCCCAAGCAGCTCACGAACTCCCCCTTCCCGGTGATGCGGCCGTGCTTCATCTCGCCCCTGTAGGTCCCGCCACTTGCGTAATTGATCTGGACACTCACGAGGCAAGAAGAAAAAAAAACATGAAATAAGTGTGGGCTGGTGAGGGGATTAGCAGTAAGAGATGGCCAAATTGGAACTCCAGCGTCGTACAGCCGTGGGCCCTCTATTGGGCGTACACTACACGCCAGGTCGATTCAGTCGCCCTACGCAGCGAGTGCTCGCCCTATCGCGGGCACCGGCCCTATTCAAGTATGATGATTCTATCTATCTGTGCCAAGAGATTTCACCCGCTCTACACCGGCCACTCGCCCCGCCCCATAGAGGGTCCACTACTGTATCCAAGCGTCCAGGCGTCAAGCACCGTCTTGCGAGTGGGGAGGACAAGGGGACCAACTGTCCATTCAATACAAACGGTTGCTCCAGGGCGGGAAAAATGTATTGAATCAAGCGGAAAATGACGTGAGTCTGTTGCGGTGCCGAAGGGAACGATGATGGCAAGCAGGGTTGTACATTGCCTCGGGAAGACGTCGCTCTCCCTACTACTAGAGTGAGGCTATGAGGGTATTTTGGGGTAAGCGTAGGGTCATGACTCAATTGATACAGATACAATAAGCGCTGAGAATTTCAAGAAGGCACAACGATTAACGAAATGTAGTTGAATGCTCGGGACTCCGTAATGGTCGAGATCGGGTCTCGAGGGATCCAGACGTCACGATTAGGTCAAGGTAGAGTTGAGTGGTTACTTGCTGAAAATCGTCAAGGCGAAAGAGCGCGAAAAGGATGTCTGAACGGAAGTAGTGTGGAAGATGAAAGCTGAGGCTCTAAGGTTAGGCTTGAGTATGGCTCGTCACCTCGACGATCCCGTGGGACACCCCCGCCGTGTAGGGATTCGGCTCGCTGCCAGCCTCCGGGAACCTGGGATTGCCACAGCAGACGCAGGGCAACACAGGCAGTCTAAAAATGATAGTCAATCGGCATGATGACCATTTCCCCCCCATGTACCTCTCCCACACGATAAAAGCTGCCGATCCACGCTCCCCAACCGCCATTCCTATTCAAAAAGTAGCACCCATAGTTCAGCAACAGCAGGCTTTCGGTACTAGATAGTACGGTAGGTCCTCTGCACCTCTACCCCCCCCCCGCCCCCGTGAGCACTTGCCGAGTTTCGGAGACAAAGTTCCCCTCGATGCGATCCCCGTTGGCACACTGAAGAGCGCCGACGCCGTTTCTTTTGCCCTTCTTGTACTCCCCGTAGTACACGTCGGCATTTGTAAACTCCATGCCGAAGCCTGAACGGGTGGATCATTTCGATAATTCAGCCCAAGTTTGATCACTAGAGTAGTTTATTTGGAGTGTAGTGGACTTCGCTGGCCGGGCGATTCAGAGTTGTTTGGTCTGTTGATTGGTGGGTTGATCACTTGTTGGGCTGTTGAATATATTGCGGAAGTCCGTTGATCCACGAATCGCACCTCGCGCAAAAGAAACAGCAACAACCCCTTTGACAACGCCATCAACGCCATCATCACCAGCAGCAGCACCACCACCACCACCAACAACAACTACAACAATAACAACAATAACATCAGCAACAACGACAAGAACAAGATCGTACTTTACGCTGTTTTAAACAAAAGAAACGTCCCAGACCTCGCTCACCGCTCTTCAGCCCTTCGGCAAACTCGCCGTGGTAGAAGTAGAACTCCTTCCCAGCAAACGGAAGTTCGTCTTCTACCCCCTTCCCCTGCCCCCCCTCCTTTGCCTGGCCACCCGTAACGTTACCACCCGTCGCGGTTGGAGGCCTCGGGGCGGAGCTGGTATCTCTCAGGGGTCTCACTGCAAGGGAGGCGTTGGCTGGGCTGGTAGGCGCGGGAGTTGCCCCCCCTCTCGTGCTGAGTGGGGTCTGTGAGAGTTGAGGGGAGGGGGGGGGGGGGAGGGCGTTTTGTGGGTGTTGTTGGGGGGGGGGAAAAGGCCTGGAAATTTCGGGAGGGGCCGCGGAACTGCTTTAGCGGAAATACCCAAAAAAAACAAAACTGGCGGGGAAAGGAAAACATTCCCCACCCCGGCCTGCACTTTAAACGGGGAAACCGGAGTGGGGGGTGCCGCCCCCGGGGAAAACCGAGCAATCAACATGCCCCCCGGAACCGCTTTTGGGAATGGGTCCCCCCTTTTTCTTTTTTTCTTCCCCACACCCGCCCTCTGGGAAAACAAAAAAAAAGGGGGTTCGTAAGGCACCCCCCTTTCAAAAAACACAAGCT